CTAAGATGTAACTTGGTAGCAACGAACCAAATTCAGTACACAAGCATTATCAAGGATTAACTTGCATCTTTTGTTGTGGCAGCTAAGGATAGTCTGGAGTGTGATAGTGCTTGTTGATTTTCCAGTTCCTATTGACTTAGGATAAGGACTTGACTTGAGGATTGGCATCTCTAATTGCTTGAGGTCCAAGATTATCGGTATGCCCATGTCTATAGTTATATTTATCCTGTGAGTTCCCAAGAATATCCTAGTGAGGGTTAAGATTAGGACCCTTAAATTCCTGCCTCTCTTGGGCCCAAGACCTTTAAAGTGGACATATTTGCTAAGTCGGGATCCTTATCTGGACTAGGTTGGTGAACACATATACTATTGTTACAACACTTGTAAAACATCCTTGGATTCTGGAACATTTGTACCTTTGAAATATCTACCCCTTACGGGCCAAGGTTACAACTAGTTTCCTGAATTAATCTGGTTAGGGCATCAAGTGTTGCATCAAGCTTAACATTTGGAAGCATAGTAGCAGCAGTATTGAAGGCAGAGGTTGCCGATGGTGGGGGTGGTAATGTCTCAACTCTGGACGATGGCTGAAGATCTGAAGAAGCTAGTGATTGTTGTAATGTTTCTCTCTCATGCTGTTGGTGGTTGATTTCGGGTTTAGGGTTTTTTATTGTTTAAAAATTATGGCATTTTGTGGTGTGAAAGCATGATGCCAAAAGTAGGAAGTTTGCTGTAAGACAAAATTAATGTGCTCAAGGACGTTCTAGGTAACCATTCTAAGGAGCATAGGAAGCGAATTGGGCATTTTTGTGGGTCATTTGACTGGAACCGAATTCTAGTATTTCTAAGAATCACTTTCTGCCTCTTGTGGTTTATGGTTTGATTAGTTTCTTGCCTTCTCTTTTGGTTAATAAACATGATCTTTTTGGTGGGATGACTTTTTCTACTTTACGAAGTGATTTGGCTTCTATTATATCTATATTAGTGGTCGGAGGATGTTTTCTCCTCATTGCTTCTTGCTAAACTGCTATGTTACCTATCAGTCATATATTTCTTTTATCACAAAATGATGCTAGTCCAAATGTTCTAAAACTGCATATTTGCAGCTGCTTTTCATTTTTGCATTCTAGATGGTCAGTCTGTCTTCTCACTATAAGGAATAATACAACTCAGTCTTGGGAAATACAGATAACATTAAACATGTATCCTTTGGTGCAGGCCCCTTCGTTTGTATTTGTAGATGAAATTGATGCCATTGCCGGCAGGCATGCAAGAAAGGATCCACGGCGCAGAGCAACATTTGAGGCTCTGATTGCACAGCTTGATGGGGAGTAAGTGTATTAGTTTTTCTGATTGGTGATGTGTAACCTAATATTTTCTAGTCCAGATGCTTAAGAAGGCAATAGATGGGCTGCAGAAATTTGTGAATTATTTTGATCTCCTTCATTTTGTTATTTTTGATTTATTCTCTTTGGTTGTTTTTGAAAGTAATCAAGCCACTCTGATGGAGATCATTTCATGAGTTCTGGAATTGGTGATGATTAAACTGGATCTGGACTGCATGATATATGTCGCATGACCATATTATTTTCTTTGTTCCGTGTTTAATCTGTGGAGCTTCCTTTTAAGGGAACAATTTATCACCATTTGACCCGATTCTTTTGACCACTTCTGTAAACGAACTCTAGTTTCTGATATTTTTATTAGCTCTTCTTTTCTGTGCTTCTTTCACATGTCTTGTGCACTAGACATGTCTTCATGATTTTGACTACCAATCATTTGCTAGGCTGTCCACTAATTATAATTGGTTAATTCTAAACATAAAATGATGATTTATTTAAAAAATGATGATTTATTTAAAAAATGATGATTTATTTAATCCTATTACCTATTTTCAAATACATTTTCATATTAAATGTGGGATCATGTGCAGCAAGGAGAGAACTGGTGTTGATCGTTTTTCACTGAGACAAGCTGTGATATTTATTTGTGCTACCAATAGACCTGATGAATTGGACCTTGAATTTATCCGCCCTGGACGAATTGACCGTCGTTTATACATTGGTTTGCCTGATGCACAGCAACGTGTGGCGATATTTGGTGTGCATAGTGCAGGAAAACAACTTGCAGAAGATGTTGAATTTGAAAAAGTAAGTATTAACTGGACAACTGATTTACTTGTAAATGTTTGTAAGTATAATGAATTTTTATGTTGAAAAAGAAATATTATGTAATAGAGAGAAAAAAATGTACAAAAAAACAGAGGATTAAAAATCCTCCTGGAATAAAAGAACAGGAACAAAAAAGGGAAGTACTCCAGTGATTCTTAGAGAACAATAATTGGCTGATCTCTATGCAACATGGACAGAGAGTAATCTTTTTAAAATGCTCATGTACCTGAGGTAAGAAAGACTCCAAAAAGGACAAGTTATCCTAAGAAGCAAAAAAAGGGGAAAAATGATCTTCAAGATCTTTGTGTTCCTTTATGAAGAAATCACCCACAAACCGGTAAAAATGAAACTCCACCACACTCCCTTGCTAAGCAATCTTTCCTCTTGCCGCATTTGCAACTAGCAATTGTTGCAAACCCATCAAGGTTACAACCCATCAAGGTTACAACCCAAAGCAAATCACCAACGAAAAACTTTTATTGTGAACATCATTTTGAATGCAAGATCTATGGGTCGAAAGGGCAAAGAGAAAATTGAGAAGTACCCGAATAGTCTAAGGACCATCCTCCACAATCTGGGGTTACAG